CCTAGTATCACCTGTTAGTACCTCTCCCCTCCCTCTAACTTGGATGCATCTACAGAAAGTAACATCATCCTCTACTGTGTTTAGAAATGTCTCTCACTGTGCTTTGTGCCCCTTCCCATTGACATTTTATACATAAACACACATACCTACAGTCCATAGTGACTTGGTTTTGTCACATATACTTGAATATCTTAGTCGAACTTAGGTTTACCTTTTTGCAAAAAATGGCCTTAGCTCTTCCATCACTTGAAAGTCAAACTGGCATGCTATGAACACTTTGTGCAGATGGTTTAGGCTCATTCTCACTGCTGCTTTTCAAAGCACTCAACGCCCCCCACCCTTTACATTGTGCTATCCCATCCTTCCTCTTCTCACTCCTTGAGGTTTTGTAACTTAGCACATTAATTACTCTCTGCCTTCAACTTGCTATTGACTTGTTCCAGGAAAATTCTCTTTCTCCTCCCTGTTAGCTTTTCTTTGTGGCTAAAAAGTTACCTGTAGCCTGTCTCAGCTAAGAACCTGTTGGTCATTCCCACTGTTGCATGACTCCTACTCACTTCCCCCTCATTCCACCCTGTGCAAATCCAGAGGTTTTTGCTCTGGAATTTATCATCCAGTAAAGTCTTGAACCATGGAGCAGGTAGAAAAAAAAAACTTTGCTGTAAAGCAAATAAATCCTCTCTCCTTCCCCAATGCCATTCTTCAACTATTAGGTTAGGTCATTCCAGAATGAATACTCCCCAGTCATGCATGTTATCCAAAACAAGCCTGTCAGATTTAATTGACCTATGTTGATTATATAGGAAGACAACCAGTTGTTCTTGTTTATTTCACCTATTTCCTGCATTACTATTAGCTACAGACATGCCCCATGGGACAAACTACTTGTGCTCCTGCCCCAGGTAAAAGAACAACAGTAAGCAAGTTAGGAATCCAATTTCTTACATCAAATTTTAGAGAATATATGCCGTAAGTAAATCATTCAGTACACAAAAGCAACACAAAGCGTTTCAAAAAAATTTTCAGAGTCACAGAACATTCAGAGCTGGAAAGGACCCATAAGGATCATGGAGTCCAACTCCTGGCCCTGCCCTGGAGAATCACAGCGTGCAACTCAGACCATCGGCCAAACACTTCTCGAGCTGTCAGGCTTGGCGCTGTGACCCCTTCCCTGGGGAGCTGTTTCAGTGCCTGATCACCCTCTGAGTGAAGAACCTTTTTCTAATATCTAACCTAAATCTCCCCTGACACAACTTCAAGCCATTCCCTTGGGTCCTGTCCCTGGACACCAGGCAGAAGAGGTCAGTGCCTGCCCCTCCACTTCCCTTCGTGAGGAAGTTGTGTATCATGACGAGACTACTTGAGACTACTCTTCTTCAGGTCGAGCAGACCAAGTGACCTCAGCCACTCCTCATATGGCTTCTCATGAAGACCCTTCATCTTTTTTTGCCCCCCTTTGGATGCTCTCCAATAACTTAGTATCTTTCTTGTACTGTGGTGCCCAAAACTGTACCCAGTATTCAAGGTGAGGCCAGACCAGCACAGAGCAGACTGGGACAATCACTTCCCTTGACTGGCTGGCAATGCCTGGCCTGATGCACCCCAGGACATGGCTGTCCCTCCTGGCTGCCAGGGCACACTGTTGACTTTTGTTCAAAACAGAGCTGCAAGCATATCTGCATACTAGCAAGCAGGTGCTCTGCTTGGAAACAGCCTATATTTCTTTAGGACAATGTTCAAGAACTGTACCTGCTATTCAAATTCAGCACCACAAAGAGAACATACTTGGCAAAAACAACATAAAAGGTGACTAACATCCCTGGCACGAGGTCCACTAGGTTTACAAGCTTACTGTTCTTAGAGTAACATCACAGATTCCCACAGTAAGAAAAAATTAGCAAAGTAGGTTTGAAAGAAGAAACCACATATGATCTACTTTCTTTCCAGCATTCATCATTCCCACTTTGTGACAGAATGGGGGGGGGGGAACCTGACAAGAGGAATATAATCAAAAAAACAAGTTTTATAATGTCTGTGTCCTCATCACAACATCCAATTATTTTGCATATATTTAATTTTTAAAAACCAATTTGCAAGACAGAAGCAAGTTAAATTTACAGAACACTGTCTACACTTAAATAATCTGCTTTAACTCTAAATAGTTTGTCACAGTTTTACTTAAACTCAGCAAAACACACTAAAAGTTAATTATTCTAAGAAGATACCAAGAAGCTTGAAAACAACAGAAATATTTGTCTAGAAGACTTGATTTTAAAACATATGTGCTTATTCTTTCACAAAAGAACAACTTACTTGCTAGCTTAGCCTGCAGTCCTGAAGGTCCAGGTTTTGATGCCTCCGACTTGGAAGAGCCTGGTAGAGACAGTTTTGTTTTAGGGAGACTGACTTTTGGGCTGAATCGAGCAGCCCAGTCAAACTTTGAAGAGCCACCTGTTTTACTCGGTTCTTTGTCCCTGCTACTCCTTCTTGGACTTGGGCTGGACGCGGAACGGGAACGTCTAGCCTTACTCTGGTCCTTTCCCTGTTTCACTCTGGCACCCTGAGGAACAGTAGAAGAAGCAGAGGCAACAGTAGAAGAGGAGGAGGAGGTGGAAGCTGAAGAAGAAGAATCAGTGATGGTGCTACACCCAGCTTTGGCTGAGGTCACCGATTTTGAAGCCAGCTTGGAGACTTTTGCTGACTTCTCTTCAGCGCCAGTTGATTCAACTGCTGACCCACTCTTTATACAAGACAGATTCTCTGTCCTTTTCCTTTTCTGACTTTGGGAGCTACCAGCAGCTCCACCCTTCCTGGTGTGAGCCTTGCTTGTCGATGGCAATTGTGTAGACTTCGTCTGCTCTTGGTCTAAGTGTCTTCTCTTAGACTTAGAATGTGGCTTGCTAGGTTCCAAGGAAGTTTCAGTGTGTTGAAGTGCTTTGGGCTTTTTAGCAGAGCTAGGAGAATTGGTCCTCCTGTAATCTGGACTAGCACTGCGCTTAACTCCTCGAGAATTGTCTTTCTTAGGCACTTGCCCCGTTTTTTGCTTTTCTGAAGTATCGACTCTCTCCGGATCTTCTTGTGGTATTAGAACAGCAGAAGAACTACAGCCTCTGTAGAAGTAAGCAGGAACAGCATTAGTGCTGAACTCATGAAACCTGGGTTTGAACAGTTTTTCATGATAAATGTCATCACTCTCTAATAATAATAAAGGAAACTGCACATAAGAAACACTGTTGATTAAGTTCACATTGAAACAAACAAAAACCCCACAACATGCTTGTATGAAAATGGTCATATTGCACATATTTGCTAGCACAAAAACTAAATAAGTTGCAAAATAAAAGCACAGTACGTTGCTTTTTTAAAGAGGAAGAAATGAGAACGTTTTAATAAAGATACAAGAAACTGGTAAAAAAAACAACAACAACAAAAAAATCAAGCCATGAAGATATTATCTGAATGTCTGCGAATAAAAGTTCCACAAGAGAGTAAGGAGTGTTCAGTAATGCATAACTAGTCATAACTGGATTCTAGTTCAAGAAAAGCCCTTAAATGAAAGGATAGTTTCTCATCAATCTTGAAATTGAGGTAATGAATCACACACAAAAAATGACAAAATTCTCTTCTACATGATAGAAAACTGTTCCGGTGTGTATATAGCAGAAGCGTATGAAGATCAGACAAAGCAATACCAAGATGATTACTCCAAACACAGGCATACTTTAGATTATTGCATGTTTCAATTCATATTGCTCCGAACTCCTTGGGCAATCTTCCCCCAACATGAAGCAGAAAAAGGGGAGAAAGACCTTGCAAGTACTCCAGGACTAGTTATGCAGAAATCGTTTCCTCCCCATCACTGATGGAATGCTCTTAGTTGGCGAATTAGAAAAACAAAACAGAAACAGAATTTGAAACACTGAAATACATCCAGTGAATGCAACCCCTAGATTAGTTAAACATCTATTAAGTCATACAATTTATAAGAACTCTGCATAACTCAATATATTATATACGGTTGTGAAGTGCAGATAACACTGGTTAACATATGAATATGAAGCACAATTACCTTTTAGAAAAGTGTCCCTTGGACTGCTCAGAAGTAGTATTAGACTGCACTTTGGGTGTCTTTGAAATAGATTTTCTACTCTCAGGAGGGCTATGTGCCTTATGTTTTGCCTGCCCTAAATGTGACCTGTCAGCAGAAAGTCAAAACAGAAAGCTATCAGCACTTCGAGATACAGAAACAGACCTGTAGGTGGAATTATTGTTTATTTTCAGACCATCTACAAATATTATTTTACAGCTACAAACCTTTCCATATCAGCTCCTAGCATTAAACCAGTATTTCAAAAGAATCACTTGGTACAGTTACAAATCACTACCAGTGTAACACTTTGGTAAAGCACACAATAATTTAGTCATTTTAAATGAATAAAACATCATCTTACACCTGAGCTGTGCAGATAAATTCAAATTTTTCTGGTCTGCTAGATTACTGCATTATTCACTTAAGCACTAAGCTAGCACAGTAAGGCACAAGACCAGAGCACCTGTAAAAGATCTCTTCTCAAAAACAGATATATACTTATCTACCTCAAGATTCCCTGCATTATTAAGTCTTCACACAGTTATAAGCATTTACAAGTTTGTCTCTTTGCTCTTCAGTTTAAGAAAACCAAGTGCTCAGAATGAGAATACAGCCAGTTCCACTTGGTAGGAAAGCTCAACCCTACCAGTTATTTTCTGGCTGCAGTTCCAGCAGTTCAGGGGACAGAGCTGTTTGGTAACAGCTGATGTAAGAGGAATGAAGAAATACATGCTACTGAGGAAGGCAGTCAGATGAGACAGGAAGCCTGTGATGTCACAGACAGGAATGAGTTTCACATAGATAAGCTCCAAGAGGTCTTTCAAGCAGCTCTCAGCAGCATGCAAAAAAATGGGTTATTGTATTATTGAAGGACAAAGATAATACTATGCCATAGATAAATTTAAGACTTAAGTTACATCTCCATATATTCCACACTTACTTTCAAAACCACTCAGAATTATCATCTGAAAGACTCAGAAGAGAGCTCATTAGCATTTAAAACAGGATAGTATAAATAATTGCTAAGGCAAGAGACATCTCACTTGCACTTCCTTGGATATAACACACTTTTGACTCACAGCAGGAAAACTGCACATATCCCACCTACACCAAAACCCCAAGCACCACAAACCTTTATGAAACCTCTCACTAGTCTAGTACTAATGCTGAAAGAAGCAATGTTCCAAAGTTAAAGAACTGCTGATTACATGCTTATATGCTATTAACCTGGGCGATCTAGTCCTTTGGGTTGAACTCTGCAAACATCTTTGAATGCTATGGGATAAGAGCAGGTTATGTGTCACCTACACCAAAACCCCAAGCACCACAAACCTTTATGAAACCTCTCACTAGTCTAGTACTAATGCTGAAAGAAGCAATGTTCCAAAGTTAAAGAACTGCTGATTACATGCTTATATGCTATTAACCTGGGCGATCTAGTCCTTTGGGTTGAACTCTGCAAACATCTTTGAATGCTATGGGATAAGAGCAGGTTATGTGTCCCGCTCCAATCCATGACCCCAAACATCGAAAAGTTTAGGCCAAAAGAGTAATTGGAAGGGGTAAGCGCTCCATAAGCTTTCAAGTAGCTTCTTCCAACCAAATGCTAGAAATCTAGCAGCAAAGGCAGCGTTAAGTCTATTACTGACCAGAAAGTTCCACCACCCTCTTCAGGATTTCAACACAAACTTAAACCTTAGTAGACAACAAGTACCAAGTCTAACCACCCAGATGGTAACCACATGCTAACTTACTTACAGAGGCAAAAATGGCAAAACTTCAGTAGTATGATTGGTTTTGACAATTTTCCTTCCTCTGTGTTCTTCCAAAGTATTCTCATTCAGCTAGTTACTCAGATCAATGCACCGAGACAGCATACACCAAAATATGTTCCACAGCTCTTCTAAGAGCATGACAGTCTGAAGAGATGAAACTAACAGCATCTTCTCCACACTCCCCTCATTTGCTTTTATTTATCATACTAGAAGAAAGAATTTACTGTCCAAAGCAAATGAAATAAAACAGATCTTTAGGTCACAATAGCGAACTCCATTAAGGTAAACTTGGGAAAGTTTCACCTAATCCTCAGTGTTTGGATTTTCCTATTCCCAACAAAAGATTAAGGCATGAAATTTAATTTTCCCCTTGAAATGTTTTTATTATGGGAGTAACAGACATTATTACATAATTTACACTTGGCAAGAACCTCATTTTTTATGTCAGCTAAAGCGATCAGGGTTCATTTATTCTGAAGTGTATTTTCAAAGGTTATTTTCCCTTAAAAGATTTTTGTTTTGCTTTAGATATGCACAGAACACAATAATTTAAGATCTTTTCAACTAAAATATTGCTAAAGCAATACATGCCAAAAATGCACTGAAGTGTCCACTGGTTTCAGACTCCTCCCCTTCGACCTTTAAACCCTTCAGAGTGTTTTACAAATACAGTTTCATACCAATGCCCAATCTATGTGGACTATTAAAGCTACAACGATATCCTAGCAATTTGGAACACTGTATTGTGCAGACTATTGGCATTTGCTTTGCTACATCTTTTTTATCCATCAAACTATCAGTACAAACAACACTCTGAGCAGAAAGGTTACTCTAGAAACATAATGGGAGTCACAACTGATGAGAAATACTTTACTTTTTTATTTTTGAAGACCTGCTGTGCTCTCTCTTCTCATTCTTTGAGTTTACTCATTCACCTTGCATGCATGTGTGGCAAAGAGAAAGCACACAAGAGAACAGTAACTGTGCATGCAGTAGCAGGTCAGTTAAAAGGACATTAACTCCCCTTCTCTGGGGTTTATACAATGGCAGACTGACAATTTGGAGAGTGCAGGATTAAGGTAAAAATTTTAACCATACGTCAACTAGTAAATATCATAGTCCCAACTTAAACTGGAGTTGTGACAGCTTGCTTAAGGTCTCCTTAAAAGCTGACTTACATACAGAGGTAGTTAGAATAGTCTGTAAGAGCTAGAAACAGAAAGAGCAATGTTGGGAGAACAACCAAGTGCTATGAAAGATACATAGGCAGCTGGAAGGGTGATCCCTCGTAAGGTTCTAAGCTCCTTGTACTTTTGTCCAAGCAGCAAGTAATTTGAGAGGCTAAGTTCCTCATTAATGATGAAAAATTACAAGGTACTCATGAGCTTGTGTTTGCCCATGTCCATTCTCAGGAGCAGATCCAGAAAAACTGAGCTCTTGTTGCACCTGCACCTTCAAGTGTTCTTTTGCAGGGTTGTTTTGCTTTCCTTCCCCCTCCCAGATTAAAGACACTTTCATAAGCCACTGCAAGGCTTCACTCAACTAGCAAAGCTGTCTGCTGATACACAGTTTAATTCACAGGCAGACACTGAAGTTCAGAGCAACACAGACAGAAGCTGACAAGTGACCCACCGTTCAGCTCGCTGCGTTACGTAAACAACATGGTGGGAAATGCCAGCCCTGCGCAAAACCATATGAAGAGACAACTAGAACCTGTTCTCAAAGGGGTACTGCGTGCATATGGAAAAAACATACCTTTTGAAGTTAATAAACAAAGTGTTTCATCTAAGTCATGTTCCTCAGCAGCTGAGAGTGAGCTACTAAATGCTTCCACATATGAAGTCTGCAAAAATCAACCACCCTTTTACTTCTGTCAAAAATAAGACTAAAATAAATGCAATAGCACAGACTTAAAAAGCTGTGTAAAAACACCTATTTTCTCTCCTCAGAAACATTCCACCTGTCCTCCACACCACCTCAAACATTAACTTTAGTTTTTACACAGGTCTCAGGTAAGTTGTTAACAGTTAACATATTACACCCAGACTGGTCCAAAACCAAATCCTGTTCACAACAAAAGCAATGTAACTGACCAAAGCAATTCTTCTTGCTTTAGCATTTGAAAAAGGTCAGTTCAAAGTGTCTTCCAGATTCTGCATACAGCAATGTTATCTATGCAGCCAAGAAGGATCTCATGTTTATCCTTTAGCCTTCAGTCCCAAATGCACAAGAACATGTATACATTACATTCCAAAACATTAAAGCTGGGGTTTTTTCAGGGATCCTACTGCCATGCACAACAGCATACAACCATTTATGCTCACCTGATATCCTACTTAAATACTGCTATTCCTGAAGATTTCAGAAGACTAACAGTATGCAGGTTAACAGATAAACACCACTGTTATTTAATACTACTAATAAAATAATAATTTTTGCGGCACTCGTACTAGTAAATAGTTCTAGTACATAGACCATTTCCATTACTCCATACCAATATAGTGCAAGAGTGCACAACTGAAACAACAGTCAACCATTATCACTTTTTTGCCCCCCACACAAATTGCTCCCATTCAAAGTAAATACTACAGCATCACTGGGAACTGAAGTCACAAGGGCACAATTCTTCACCACACGTGGTAACAATGCAGATACAAAGCTAAGAAAATGAGAGTTAGTACCTTCAAACCCTACACCTGTCCCCCTGAAAAGAACTCTCATTAATGCATCTGCTTCCCACTCTTCTTTGGTTTATTGCTGCAAACTTTAGTATCATTATTGCTTCCTTACAAACCTGCAAAGAGTCATCCTTCAGTGTAAGGTGCTGGAAGAGATGGCTCAGACAAGGATTCATGTTGTACAATTACACTGTAACAGTAATTCTTCCAAATTAGGAGGATAACATTCAACACTTTTGAAACTGGCAGTAAAGCCCATAGGAACTAATATCCACAAGAGCTGAAAGTCATCCAAAGCACAAAACTATTTCAACATCACTACTGACAACTGAAAGTGAAGAATCACATCAGTCCAACTCCACTAAGGCCAGTCTGACTATACCCATAAACGGTGGGATGACAACACCACCAGTTCACCAGTTTTATATACATATATATATATTCTGGTTTTTACCTGTTTTCAAACACAGATCCCTTTTCTTCTTTTAGAGAAAAGCACACAGATGCTGCTTACTTCCAATCTGTGCTGCAACAATCCTTCTGCCCTGTGAGCCTAGTATTCTTTGTATGTTTAAACAAAGATTCTGCATTTGCAATAGACTACAGAGCTTTCCAAAGTCAAAGTCTGGAATTACAGTACAAGCGACAAGCTGCACGAACTCTAAGTTTTTGTCACTTCATTTTCTATTTTGAAAATGCACCTCAGCCAGAAGAAAGCTTTAAGAAAAAAGCTGTTGCACCTCCAGCATTTAGAAAGCTATTTAAACAAAGCAGAAACACAATCAAGTACACAAGTTCAGACAGTATCCAGACTTGTCCTTGCTGGAAGGGTTATGATTGCATATCTATGACCAAAGTGAAGTAACCTCCAACACTTCAAAAGGTGTGGCCCTGAAGTTGCTTACACACATTGTGGCTAATTTTAGGCATGAAGCAACAACCCCCTACAGACTGGCATTACTATTTAATTCCCTCTGCAATACTAGAGGTTTTGTTGTATGTGGGGCTTGAGGGGGTTTTCATCTTTGTGTATTGGTTTGTTGTTTGGGTTTTTAAGAAAAACACATGGATATAATAGAGTTATTGAATAAAATCTGTGTCTGTACAACTGTATCAGCAAGTGGTACAGATCAACAGAAGAAAATCAGTTGCCATTAAGGATCAACATGCACCATCTTTGCATCTGAATGATTTATACTTCTGAGCAGGCCAGATTACAACCACAACTGACCAGGATCATGAACTGCTCTCAGAGAGCACGACTTCCAGTTCTGTTCCATTCCAAAAAGATTCCAGGACCATTCCATGATACCAGCCAAAGCACAGCAGGTGAGGATGACTGATTTGTTTCAAAAGAACATTCCCAGCTCCAGCTATAATACTAACACAGATGCATCCCACGTTCACAGTTATTTGACCAATATGAGCATATTATTGAAACTGGTCTTTCCACAGTTTATTCTATTTAACTGATTTTACAGCTGAAACTGAAGAGCTTCACTTTACAGATGACAAATACAAGAAGGACTGAAAATTAAAAAATAGTCTCTCAGTTATCACAAAAAACCTAATCCAAGAAAAGGTGTGTTGGTTTGGTTTGGGTTGTTGGTTTAGATTTTTTTTTTTGCCTTTTTTTTTTTTAAAAATAGCAGCCAGAGCAGCATGTATCAGCAAAGCACAATGAAGACAACACAACAAGCTGTGACTCTAGACCTTCCCACACAGTGCTCAGCAGCACAACTGAAACATACTATCCCATGGCATGCTAGATATGTGCAAGGCTGAGCGAGTCCTCAGGTTTGTGTCTAGTGACATGCAACCAGAGAAAAAGAATCTTATCTGAGAGTCTAGTCTCTTTCCACGTCACCTACGAATTTTTCAAGGCCCTGAGAGATCTATACTACATAGCTAATTCTATACTACATAGCTCACTGAAGAGGAGGTACACATGACAGTTTAAAAATACTAATTTACTAAATATTTTATGAATAGGCCTGGATAAAACATGCTGGTTAATATGTTTTGCCAACCCAAAATGCATGTTCAGAGATGGAAAGGCAGGGGAGGTCCTGTTCTAAGAGCCTGCAAGATTATTCACTTTGTCTGACTCACTGTAGAGCTTCTCCCTGGCATTCTGCTATAAAATCTGAATTAATGATAGATAACTGAAGAATGACCCCCCACCACACTTCCAAATAACTTGCCTCTAATTCTTTATTCTAGGGAGAGGGTTATTCACCCCAGGTCAAGTTCAGTGTAAAAGGAAAGCACTGACAGGGCAATATCTAACTTAAACATCCACTGAAATGCAGAGACAGCACAGAATGGATAGAGCTCACCATTCCACCATTAAAGAAATGTTCTCCAAAAACAACTGTGCCTTACAAAATCAGCTACATAAGGCAGCAACTTAGCCCTCCTTATGCCATATTAGCCCAGGAGAGAAGCCTTATGTTTATCATCTGCTGTTCCATTTGTTAAAGTAGGCTAGTTGAGACAAAATGAAGCTGCATTTTTCAGATTGTTCACCCTGAAGTTCCTTCAAAGAACAGCTCTTCATCCATTCAGTGACCTTGTTTTCAGTTAGATCTTGTACTAGTAAACAGTACACCTCATCTTCACTAAACTTTATAGCCCGATTCCTTCTCTACAAAAAACTTTTGTGCCACTGAGCTGCAATATTTCAATACTCTTATTCACAAAAAAAAAAAACAAGCCCAAGGCAGACATTCAAACAACTGGAGCAGTAGCATGTCTGAAGGAGGATATAGACAGATGTTGCCTACTGTCACGCTACAACCTTTCTTCATTAGACTAATATTTAAACATTAAATTTAAGAAAAACTTATCCATCTCGGCATCACCCACTCAGAGCAATAATTATACAGTCATCCATAGAAAAGTTTTAAGGATCTTTGTTCTGCACTGTAGAAGTACTTACAGAACAAATACAGCCTGGTCCACTTGCTCACTAGATCAAGCATATTAAAGGATGGCAAACGTTTTTTTTGCTTGAATTATTCAAAAGCTGCACAGGATTAATATGCAGTGCAAGGGAACAGAGTGGCACCAGTTATTCAGCCTTGTCTAACAGGAACACAGATGTTCCCAGATTTCCAAAAGCAGAGTCTCCCTGTGTCCTCCCCTCCATATTTTTGTTATCACCAAAGGAAGAAGGGGGAAGGCATTTATTACTACCTGTGACTTGTGGAATACAGCTCAGTTACACTCCTACAGATCTACTCCTGCTATTCTAGCTAAACATGCATGATACTGACCTATTCCTGGGCTTATCCCATGCAGTAACAATACACTTTGCATTTCAGAGGCAAAACGATTTTACTCAAATTTCAGTGCATGGAGTGCAGAGTGAAGAAGTTCACTCTCTAATTAAATCACATCAATTTTGCTTTTATACATTAACACACACTCAGGTAACAGTCATACCTTCCTCCTACTGCGTCGTCTTGCGGCTGGGCCCCGGCAGTGTTCCTCTGTGAACGTCGCAGTGACCCCCCTGGATTGTTATTAGGCAGGTTGGACATTGGCACCTCTCTCCTGAAGGGACATACCCTTTCTAGACACTATCATTCACTGGAAGACAAGAAAGAGAGAGTGATGAGACATGTGGCATGGAAGTCTCACTGCCATGCCTCCAAAACCAAGTGTAAAACGCCATTGTTTCAGCAAAAAACTGAAGATAAAAAGCTCTAAGGAATTTTTAGTTCAAAGACACATGAAACAAGATTCTTCTCGAGAACATTAAGAACCTTAATACAGAGCAACAAGTTTCCAGCATATATGGCATACAGATGGACTAGATGACCTTTAAAGGTCCCTTCCAACCCAAACTACAAACACCTTTGTGATTCTGTGATGACACTTCTTGTCTGGTAGGCATCTATAATTATGTTAAGGAGACAAGACATGCAATTTAGGAGAACCTGTGTTTATCAACATTAAGGAAAAGCTCAATGCCTGATAGGGAACAAGAGTATTTAAGTATTTTAACTCTCATTGTGGAGATGACAATGCCAGTTCAGGAACAAGCAGCAGCATTCACAAGACGGCAGACGTTAACTAAATTCCTGTGCTTTTACAACAGCTTCTTTCTCTAGTCACATTTATGCAACTCTCATTTGTGTAAAGCAAAATACATAGTAATTCAGGAAAAGAGATCTAGCTACATAAAGTTCTTGGTCATGAGAGCTTTATTAGTGGGAGAAAGTATTTGAGTCACAAGGATTACTGAGCATACACAACTACTTTCAAAAAATAATCAATATGATGGCTTTGTAGTACTGCTTTTGGAATTGCATTGTGACTGCTGGAGGTCTACAGACTCTGTTTTGGTAGTTATTTATGGAAGACTACCATAACACCCAGCTGCAGAGCTCAGAAACAGAGGTATTTCAAGAACAAGCCTCACTCGGTTCCTCAGTGAAGAGAGGTGACTTTTGTATCTTGTGCTAAATCAGTGTTTCTATATAGAGAGCATAGCAACAGGGCCACAACCAGCAAATCCAGTTTTACTGTTTCTAATTTTGTGGAATCTGGTTTAAAAAAAAAGGTATTTGCAGGTGGAAAAAAAAAGATGAATAAAAGGAAAGTAACCCAAGTTTAAGAACACAATAGCCTATATGCTGATTTGGTATCTACTATATCTATAGCACAGTAAACAAGAGGTCTGAAAAGAAGAAGCCTAAAACATTTCAGTTGCAGATTCAAATTTAAATGTCACCAATAAAAACAACTCCCAAGACCTGGAATTGTCAGTAAAGCCAGAGAAGAGTTGACTATAATTGTCTATTCCTCTAAAAGAGCCTACAGAAGTGAACAAAAGGGGGGGAGAAAACATGGACTGATGGGGAAGAATCCAACACGATGCAGTTTCACTGTAGACCATTAAGAAACCAGGCACATAAACTGGTATTATGCAAGCCATTACCTCATATGTCATGCTACAAGGAACATGTATATCATCCAGACACTTGCACAGTGCAAGAAATTATTCATCAGGATTGCACTAGCTCAGATTCAGTCCTGTTACACTGTAATAATACTAACAGCTCAGACTTAGCATGCTGGAAGTATTTTAAGTAAGGTCCAGGAATCAAATAAAACTACAAGTTAGGCAGAAGAATTGCTCCCCAACCTAATTCCCCTATCACAGAAGTAAAAAGCATCTTCTGAAAGGTTTTCATGTTCCTTCCACTAAGAAGTCCAACACCACAGCAGGCAGCAAAAGCAGAAAGTAGGATTAATTAAAGGATCACTTTTACCTTCAGGTTTTTGCAACCTTGGGTTTTTTCTTTTTTACTTTGCACTTCGGAATTTGAAAGAACGTAAGTAAATCACAAACTAAACCAACTCACAAAATACACTTTTTTGACGAACCTCATAGCTAGAAGTCTTGATTAAGCAGCTGAGTTTTCCCCTCTTAATGACTATTTCTCTTATCCTTAACCATAACCAATATTCCCACCAATAGAAAGGTTTCAAGCTTTTCAGCAACACAAGACACCATCAGTGTACAACTTCTTACACTTTAGGGCGCAAAAAGATTTGCAGTGAAACAGAAAGGCCTGCTACAGCTGGTGAGGCCACACCTTGAGTGCTGTGCTCAGCTCTGGGCCCCTCAGCTCAGGAGGGACATTGAGGGGCTGGAGCAGGTCCAGAGCAGAGCAACGAGGCTGGGGAAGGGACTCGAGCACAAGTGGCATGAGGAGAGGCTGAGGGAGCTGGGGGGGTTGAGCCCGGAGAAGAGGAGGCTCAGGGGAGACCTTCTCACCCTCTGCAACTCCCTGACAGGAGGTTGGAGTCAGGTGGGGGTTGGTCTCTTCTCCCAGGCAACAGCAGCAGGACAAGAGGGCACAGACTCAAGCTCTGCCAGGGGAGGGTTAGGTTGGAGATCAGGAAGAGATTTTTCACAGAGAGAATTATCAGGTATTGCAATGTGCTGCCCAGGGAGGTGGTGGATTCACCATCCCTGGAGGTTGTCAAGCTGAGACTGGATGTGGCACTTAGTGCCATGGTCTAGTGACCACAGTAGGGTTGGACTCAATGATCTTTGAGGTCTCTTCCAACCAGGTTGATTCTATGATTCTATGACATCATGCCAGCTTGCTGGTGTAGCCAGATTACTCAAGTTGAGGAGAGCCTAAGCGGTAGCATTCTCTTGGAAGAACCAATGCAAGAAACAAAGCCTAGCATCAACCAGGCTGAAAGGTGACCTCGGTTCCAACACTACCTAGAGAGGGGGTCTGGCTGAAGTCGATCACAGGCACCGCCAAATGTTATTGCGCATTCTCTTTTTATTTCCTTTTATTCAAAAAAACCCCAAACTTATTCACTATCACAAATGAGGCACATTTTGTGCATTTTCTAGGAGGGAGTAGTGTGCCCTTCTATTAAAACCATGTGTCAATGAGTTTTGCAGTCATATAGCAAAAATGGTCGCCACAGAACTACTGTCTCACCTCATACTGACTGCAAAAAGGATGTGCATAAAAAATGCAGGTTTCGTGAGGTGCAGTGCTCACTTAGAGCTCTGCCAGCTTAGCCACACACCTTCCCACCTTGGCCAGTACATGGGCTCTCCACACCACCATGAGACTGAGCTGAAGAAACCACCACACAGCCAATGTTTCCCTGTCTAGGGAAACTTTAACACTGACTTGTCTGGGTGTGCTGGTGTGGGCCAGGATAGTTAACTTTCTTCACGGTAGCTACTACGGGGTTACACTTTGGATTTGCACAGAACACAGCACTGATAATAGAGATGTTTCTGTTACTGCTGAGCAGAGCTCACACAGAGCCAAGGCCTTTTCTCCTTTTTGTACTGCCACACTGGCGAAGAAGTTGGGACAGCATGGGAGATTGGGAGGAGACACAGCTGGGACAGGTGACCCAAACTGACCAAAGAAATATTCCATAGCATATGGCATCATGCTCAGTATATAAAGTGGGGGAGAAAAAGGAGGAAGGGGAAGGTTCCTTGGAGTGATGGCATCTTTCTTCCCAAGTAACCAAAACGTGCAATGGGGCCCTGCTCTCCTGGAGATGGCTGAACACCTGTCTGTGGGAAGCAATGAATTAATTCCTTGTTCTGCTTCACTTGTGTGTGCAGCTTGTGCTTTCCCTATTAAAACTGTCTTTATCTCAACCCATAAGTTTCTAGTTTTTACTCTTCTGATTGTCTTCCCCTTCCTGCTGGTGGGGGATGGAGTGAGCAGCTGCACAGGGCTAGACCGTAACACTGGCTTAGCCACACTCGGAGTAGTCTGTGCTTAGAAGTTATGTAACACAATGTGTTGTCACACACACAATATTTTCAGCTGTGTAGAAGAATGAAGTGACAGCTGTTTTATCCTCTAAGGCATATATAGTCACGAGCATGTCCAGAGTTATTGAAACATCTCAACTTAACTGCATTTCTTATTGTGCACTTGCTATCATATGATTCCCAGTTTGCTTTTAAATATAATGCTGCTTCATGATGTGGCTGTGACCTTTAACATCAAAACATTAACTTAAGCCTCACTGTGAGTATCTGAAGCCACACAGTACCATGTGCCCTGTTAGTCCAGGAACAAAGAGATCTTTTCACAACTGCGTCTTCCACATGCTGGAGCGATAAGAGCCCAGAGGCTCCTAAATCTGAACTGTTCTCATTCAGACTTAACCCTCCATCTAAGTGTCACTCCAAACATTTATTCTTTCCCATCTTCAGACACCTACATCCAAAGGAAATGTGCAACCCAGCAGAGATCAGCTGAACGTGCCAGTGCAGTCTTGTCAGAGTTTAAGACAATTTCCTCAACCACTCTAAGCAATCTTCCTCACACCCACAGTAAGAAAAAGCTACAACTGTACATCAGACCTTTGTGCTTCTGTTGACAGGCTTTGCAATTAGGAAGTTTTAAGTTCAGGTCCTCTTCTAGCATCAAGTTATCTATAAACAAGCCATTTTAGTTAATGTTTCACAACTCTGTATTCCGAGCTGCAACGACGCCGAAGCACTGGCCCCAGATGCTCTCATCATAAGCAGACTCTTCAGAATGAGGATCAATTCCAGAAGCCAGCATTCCAAATAAACCCACAACCTACCTCCTGAAGCCATCTAACAGCACTGACATCTAATGCTTATCATCTTCCATAGCATTACTGAGTTTCAGCAAACACTATTTGATTACTATTAACCATCCTCTTTGTTACTGTACAGGAAAGCACCAATAATTCATTTCTATCACATACCTATTCCAAACACTATAGCTAGCACATAGCCAACACATTCTTTGGAGGGGTTCTACAAAAACACAAGACAAAACCCACATGTTAACTTGTAATGAAGCCTTCACCTTTCTTCTGGAAAACCCAACAGGAAATGACTAACACTCTTCCATGTGTTCCATGCAAACAGAGGAAACACAACTACACACCAGGGCTGTATCAGCCTGTACTTAACACCAAATCATTCCCTGAAGGACATGGGAACTGTAATGCTACTGTGATGTAGGCCACAGAGAAGAGAATGAGTAAACTAAAGCACTTCTATAGGTTCTAGGGCCACTAACAGTATAACACAGCAAACT